CAGTGCCCCACAAGCACTGTCTCCATACACAGACTGCCCCACAAACACTGTCCCCATACACACTGTCCCCATACACACACTGCCCCACAAACACTGTCCCCATAGACACACACTGCACACCCATACACACACTGCCCCACATACACACACTGCACACCCATACACACACAGACACATACAGTGCCCTACACACACTGCTGCCCCCCACACACACACTGCCCCACACATACATACAGTGCCCCCCCTTACATACAGTGCTCCCCATACACACACTGCCACCCTCACACACACACACTGCCCCACACATACACTGCCCCCTAACACACACTGCAACCCTGACATACACTGCCGCCCTTACGCACTCACAAACACTTCACCGCTCACACACACACTGCACCTTTCACACACACTTCACCCCTAACACACAACACTTCTCCTATGCCCTATATCCCAGCAGACCCCAGGTAAGTTGTCAAACTGTTCTTAAACTTACTCTGGGGTGGGATCCTGGAACTACTTGCACCATAACTTTTACACTGAGCTGTAGTGGTTATTGTGCCAGGATTATTTATTTAAATAATCTACAAGTGCCCCTCCCAAGATCAGGCTCTGGATCTGCCACTGATCAGGCTACTTAAAATCTTAACAAATATACGTGGTGATTCAGTTCCACCATTTGGCCATATTGTGTTAAGCCCACCACTAATTCACAGTACCCCAATATAGGTGGGTCCTACACTAATTCCAATGTGGGAGACAAATTAAATTGTGCTAGTGCTAAATAAGATAAAGTGTATATAATTAATCTTTTGTAAGAGCATTGTGAGTATATATAATGCAAAATCAATGTAATAAAGCAATTGAAAACATTGCAAAAACTAAACAATTAAACTGATAGTGCTTTTTGTCTTTACTAAGTAAGTTTGGAATCCAGACCAGATTCCTTTTGGGGTTAAGCACCCCGCCCAGCCCCAACTTCAGAGGCCCCTTTGGCTGTACACAGGTGTATATATATATTTCCTGACCATTATTCATGGCAGCATTTACTCATGGGTTATCTCCTCCCCTCACAGCAGAAAGGACAGGAAATAGAACTGTGAAACTGGTATAAATAGATCCTCCCCCTTCCCATCAGGCAGTCTTTTTTTCTGTCCTTAACAGCAGTTTTGGAAGGAGTCTGCTTATGCAGGCCTAGATTTTTTCTTTTATGCTCACCAGGCAATATTTTTGTAGCCCTGCCGGGGTTCAGCCTCTAAGCCCTGAAGACCCAGCAACGCACTATTGTAAAAGTGGCTAGCCTGGGTACCCCCTTTAGTGACCGGGGGTCGGACCCAACCTCTCCCTCTGGGGATGAAAATGGTCCACTGCATGCCAGGGTTCAGCCTCTTATCCCTGAAGACCCAGCAACAGGCCAGCTTGGGTACCCCCTCAGAGGATGTATGTGATATACTGCCTACATGAAGGCATGCCAGGCTTCAGCCTCTTATCCCTGAAGACCCAGCAACAGGCCAGCTTGGGTACCCCCTCAGAGGATGTATGTGATATACTGCCTACATGAAGCCAGGCCTGTCAGTTGTTCAAATCCCCATTTTGCTGTTGAAACACAGGCCTGCAGCTGTTCAGGTAAGTGTATTAGTAATTTAGATTAAAACTAGTATAGGCACCTGGGTCTCTGTTCTTTCAGTCCCTCCCAGCTGCTTACATTAGGCTTCCTTCTAACAAATAGGTCACATTTAGGAGGTTTGTGTGGTGAGCATTTAGGTAAGTTTATACATGAAATAATATTGGCTTTTTCTTTTACCTGGTCATAACTTTACTATCATTTTATTTTTCTGCAAGCTTCTACTCTGAAAAATTCACTACTCCTGGTCTGGCTTATACTTTTTATTCAGTATTCTCTTTTTATTCCTTGGGGACCTGAAAGTTTGGCAATCCCTTAAGTATATGACAGGGGTGGCATGCTTTTGGTTCTTAAGTAGTTAATGATCAGAATTTTCTCATATTCCCCTGTTGTGAAGGGGTACATTTTAATTTCCTTTCTGCAATAAAAGGTATTATTTTAGGCTCATATGCTCCAGGTAACTTTGATGCTGTGTATTGCAAGTATTTTAATTGACACTGGAAGGTCTTTCTAGTCCCCAGACCATTCTACCAGGTTTACTATTTCAGGTAAAATTCACCCGCTGTCTGAACAATAGAGGAAATCCCTGAACAGGTAATTCCATTATGGACCTCTCTTCTGATATTCATGGGAATTCTTCTAGGTGTCCTTATGTCTGGAATTTGCAACCAATGTGTGGCTTTAAATGGTTGATTAATCCTGCATAATATAATGTAATGCAGCTTGTTGACGACAAACATTTGACGGATATGTTTTACAGGGTCTCTGTACCTAGATCGGTATAAGTTATGGTCACTCCTAACATTGCATTGATTTAATACTTGTGGATTATATGTTTGGATTGGTGTTGATATCTTGCAGATAAAACCAACTGCTTATTATCAGCATAGGCTCTGCCATAAGTACTTCATCTGAACATATCTGAAGATAAGGTAAGAGTAAGTATGCGGTTGTTTGTTCTCATAAGGATAACTGAATATCTTCTACTATCCTGCTTATGATGTCTGTTGCCACAATGTATCATGTGCCTACTGCATATCTCCTACTCATGTTGCACAACAGTCTCTAATAAATTTGATTATACTGTTTGGCATAATCTGTACTATTTACAATATGTTTATCTTTGAATGTAGGTACTGACTTGGTTGGCCTACATTGCCTACTTATAATTTAGTAGTTGCCACAAATTTTACGGTTCATATCGGGTTTTTTTTCCCCTCAACTAATCTGTATATGATTCTTTTTGCCTTTGCCTAGTAATGTTATTGGTTTATACCTCTCCTGTAACTGATCATTACTGTATCAATTCATCCACGGTGTGTAGTATTGTTGTGAGTCTGATTTTGCAATATATATTCATTGTTGCAGCGTTTTTATAACAGGCTCTTATTTCTCTACTAGGCTCTGCCTCTTTCTGACAGGCAGATATTGATTTGTTTCCTCTATCTACAGGTAAGTAGTTCACTAGGCAAGAGGAAGCAATGTGAATCGTCTTTAATAAATACACGCAGAAAATAGTGGGATTCTCCGTGTAATTCTCCCCCTGTTTAATAGCATGGTGTGACTGTTCCCATCCAACAGTGTCTGATTGTTCCAGTATGATCTCTGGAAGTTAAGCCTTTAAGGTTCTGACTTGATGATGCCATCCATTTGGTTTTAAATTTATATCAGAGAAGGACATTATCCTTTCTTATTGACATAATAGATCTATAATTTCTAGACCGTGTCTGGGTTTTATGGAGGTTCTCTACAATTATTTATTTTTTTAATCCATCACAAGAAGGGTTCGTTACTTCTTACGGGAGTTTGTCTAGCCTTGTTCCTTCTCTAGACTAGGCTATCATGGCCTTAATGCCTATTTGGCAATATATTTATTCAGGATATTTCAGAAATTTGAATGCCAGGAGGTTACTGGCCTTGCAGCCTCTAGGGTAAATTAACCTGTCCGAGCAGATTTTATGACAATATCCTATTGATTACTTGTTTGGCTTTTTTTAAAGTCTTCTAAAGTTTATGCAGCTCAATAATGGTTTTATAACTATTAGCTGTTTTTGAACTCTGTCCCTCCCTCGATATATACTGCTTGAGTATTCCCCATGAGTAAATGTTGCCATGATTGATCAAGAATATGGAAAATTGCTTCATACTTACCGTAATCTTCTTTTCCTGATAATTATTCATGGCAGCATTATGTTCCCACTCATATACTATAAGAGATGTGAAACTAGTTACTAAGACTGCCTGATGGGAAGGGAGAGGATCTATTTATACCAGTTTCAGAGTTCTATTTCCTGTCCTTTCTGCTGTGAGGGGAGGAGCTAACCCATGAGTAAATGCTGCCATGAATAATGATCAGGAAAAGAAAATTACGCTAAGTATGAAACACTTTTATATATATATATATATATATATGGCATTTTTGGGATAGTAAGGTTACTTTAATAATTTCATTGAGTAGATATATAATTTGAATTGTGAGTATATTCATCCAAGCACTATCACATTAATTGTTTCATTTTGATACTGGTTTTAATTGCATTTAATTTTCAATTATATATACTCACAATGCTCTTACAAGAGATTAATCAAAGCTAAATAAACCTTATTTACCATTAGTATTATTTGATTTGTCTCCCACCTTGGAATTAGTGTAGAACCCACCTATATTGGGGTACTGTGAAGTAGTGGTTGGCTAAACACAATATGGCCATATGGTGGAACTGAATCACCATATTTGGTTGCTAAGATAGCTGATTTTAAGTAGCCGTATAAGATTTAAAAATGTATTTTGAAGTGTGCGCTGTAGCTTAACCTGTATTAAGTATGAATTGTTGTCACTACAGCAGCCCTATTCCTGCAAAATGCATATTTTAGGTTTGCCCCCAATTCCTTTTTGTCTTTACTATTTATGCAATTCATGTCCCAGACTCCTAGACCAGGCTATAGGTTGGACCTAGTGATAAAGGTGGCAAGTCCTCCCGTAAAATTGACAGGCCAGCCCACTTAGTGCGGACCCTGCTTGGATCACTGTTTCAGTGTTTTTTGCAGGGCTTAGTGCCCTGAACATAGCCCATGCGTATCTAATAATATGCCCACGCAGTGCTTGTTAGGGGCAGTACCCTGGTGACCTGCCGAAGTCGGGATGTTTTGGAGGGCTGCAATCACCTATCCATACACAATTAATCACCGGCCAAACCACCCACACAGTCATAAACACACATCCACACACAGATGTGTGTTATAATGTATGATTGTTATATAATGCAAAATGAATGTGTG